GGGGAGAGACAGTGGCCTTGGGTGGATCTAAATGTTGGTGAGGCTGAGAAATCAGGATAAGTAAAGCTCAAAGGTAAGATTTTTTTTTCGTTCAGAGGACATTCCAGATAGGTGTGAGTATGTTTTATTCACACACGCATACGCAAACACGCTCATCTGACCTTATACAGTTGCGAGCGCCGAAAAAATTAATGATTTTATTAAACCCGCAAGCGCACACATACAACAGTAACTGGATTTGGCCGTGGGGTCGCAGAAAACAAGGCATTCCTACAACGTGGGCCCGTGAGCGTATGAGTTACTGGGTCTCTGGGAAAAGTGTGTTCATGAACTTTCTCCCCATTGTCTCTGCTGGCCAGTGGCGGTGGGTGGACCAAAATGTGGGTGGGGCTTAGGTTGTTTCCAGTTCTTTACCACCAAATAGCAAGCAATAAGAATTAAACAGTGATGATTTTCTTTACTCACGGTGAGCCACGGTAGTTAGAGAACCATTCAAACGAGAAGAGTTGCCTTTGTTTTCCATCTCTTTGTTCTTAGTTAAATTTTTGTTGATGGTGGGGACGAAGCTGATTTCAAATTTCCTCTAATTAGTTTTTGTGTAATGAAGATGTTGCCTTACAAGTAGTTCGACCTGATTTATAACTGTTAAATCTCAGCGGCACAAACACAAACATGCACACACAGCATTTCAAACAGTATACTTCTATGAGCTGGGTTAGGCCGTGTAGTCGAGAAAGTTGAACGCACCCAACAAAGAACCAATGAGTGCCTAGGTATCTGTGTCAGTGGGGGAAAGTGTGTCGTAAACTTGCACCCTGTTGTCAGGGCTAGGAGAGCTTGAGCCCTCGGTACAGTGTTATTTTTTTCCCAGTCTTCTACATTTTTACAAGAAGAGTTTCATTAAATACAGGTTCGGGGAAAAGGGCTCATCTTTGCTGAGCCCTAAAGACATTTGATTGGCTGCTGGGTTACTATAGTTGTAAGCGGTGACAACAGTGATTGGATAAGCGAGCAAGCCGCCAAGTTGATCACTCTGTGTTCATTGCGTGCAGTCATAACGGTTTCAACTGCTTATTTCATTATGGAGAAACTTTCATTTACTTTGAGATAGAATTGGGGGTGGTGGGTGGGGAAGGGGTAGGGGCTCAAGCCCGTGAGCCCTTCACTACCCACCGCCTCTGCTGCTGGCAGAGAACGAGCCCTCTCTAACAACAGTTTCCACGGGTTTTCGTTTGTTTCTTTTACCTTTTTTCTAACGGTTTCAGCTGATTATCACGTTTATTAAAAGAAACATTCATTTACGGAGGGAAAGAGTTGGGGGTTGGGGTGGGAGTGGGTGGGGCTCAAGCACTTTAGCCCTTCACTTCGTCCCGCCTCTGGGGGGGGGGGGGGGCTCCTGTGGTCTAGGGGTGGTTAAGGAGTTTGCCTCTCATTCAAGAGGTCGTAGATTTAAATCCAGATAGCGACGAAAATTGTCCTTCTCTAAAATTGTCTCCTTCCACATCTTTTCCTGCCCTCTAACAATGTTCTGTTGTCTGCTTTCGTCTCTACTTTCTGCCCCTTCTCTGCACCCTCCTCTGGGCTCCAGACTCTTTCTGCTGCCTTTCTACTGCTGCTCCTTCGCTCCTACTTACTGCTGTCTTTTAGCCACACTCCCGATCTTATGGTAGGAAAGATCTTCACCTTAGCTTCCGTGACAAGGACGAAAAATATCGGAGGTCCCGTGTGCAAGTTGAGCATGTTAAAGATTTCTTGGTTGTCCATAATCGATAAGAGTGGCTTCGGCCGCCACCCTGGTAAAATTCACAATTTCCTATCAACCAAGCTGCGTGCCCACCATGCTAAAGAAGAAACTACCCGATTTTTTGTCAGGGGAGGTAAGTCGGACGGGTAGTTTCCAGCGTGTTTTCCACCAACAACCCGGCAGTTTGTAATAAGGGGTGCCTATTGGAGGATCGGGTCGGGTCGGGTTGGGGCGGTTTGCTCGCCGGGTTGAGAGAGCAAAGCTGCTATCGTGGCACAAGCCGATTGTGCCCGACTCGTCGCCTAAAAACAAACGTGTTTGTTGTCAGGCGACACGTTGGGAGATCGACCTGACCTGATCCCATCCGCAATGGGCACCCAGTATAAACGACCCGACATGTCTGTTGGCCCAGTAGCCTACTTATTTCCAGGACGTGTGCCCTCGATCACTGTCCTTACCTAGTCCTTGAAGCTGTTCTTTTGGCCACTCTTGTCTTAAAGAAACAAGTATTCAATTACCTCTTCTTTCAGTTTTTTGTTTTGTTTTGGGGCATGGGCAAATACACCACTGCCAGACCCCCCCCCCCCCCCTTTTCTGTGCAGTATTTACACGGACAGTTTAAGGATACCAATTTGGCTTATGATAACCTATCGTTTGGTGGAGGAAGTTACTAAAACATAAATTGTTGAAAGTAC